AAGAATTCTGAAAAGCTCAAATGGCACAAATCAGGTTTCTTCAGAGATAGTATCTACTGAAATCCCTAGGAAAGTGTTTGTTTTTACCTTCCAGCTTCTAGAGCCTCATGCATTCCTTGGCACCTGGACCCTTCATCCATGTTTAGAGTTAGCGACAGGGTGTCTCCTTCATGATGATTTCTTTGGCCCACAACTGAATTTTTCCTTTTTTGTTACATCAACCCTTGTAGTTCTACCACCTGAAATAATTCTGGATATTCTTGCATCCTGATATCAATTGTTAAAAATCTGAGTTCCATCCTCCAGCACAATTTTCTTTGACTTATTTAACACACAGGAAACCTTAGGGACTAAAAATACGTATGACCTTGTATATTTTATTATGCCCAGAACATTATCTATTTTTCTGTGTTGAATACTCCTTTATAAGTCCAAACCTCTTAGTAACACTGTTTCTGAAAATTCCAGGGTTGGGAGATTTGGGGAAATGAAAGGCATTCAAAACATCATCTCAAACCTGAAATTATGATCTTCACAGGGTCACTGTTGGCTGAAATTTTAATAGGGTAATTATCATTGAAACCATAGCATCTGTATGTCCCTGCATGTTCTGATGTCACAGGTCCAAAGACAAATTTCTTCTGGAATGGTCTTCCCTGGATGTGAGGGATAGGATTACCAAGTTCTTTGTACAACTTGAATGTGTAATAGTCACTAGGAGATTCACATCGAAGTTCCACATGCTGTCCCAAAGGAACAACATGGCTTGGCCAGGCTGAGAGTGAAGGCTTGTCATGATATCCTGCAGAGGGGTGCACAGAGAAAATATTTAATGTTGCTCCTTCTTCCCTGAGAGCTAAATCTCCAATTTTTCTCTTCTTTGATTTACTTTGAATAACACTTTTCTCTGATTTGATACATCCCTTCTTCAATGTAAGAGGCTGAGATGTTCAGGAGATTAAGAAAGTAAACAAACTATCTATGTCATGGAAAGGTGAAACATTCAAGAATCATCAGTGGCCATTCCTAATTCTATAGAAAGAGTGAGACCCTGGACCAGCTGAGCTCTGAGTGCTAATGTCTAAGACCTGTTGGGCTGCCTGCAAGTTGTGCACTGAACTCCAGAGTTTTGGCTTCATGATAATCACTCATATTAGGGTGTGATTTAAGTGAGGTTTGAATCACCCTTGCTTCTGTTAGTAACCCCTAATCCACATTGCTATTAGTAACACAGTAAACCCATAGATTCACAGAGTTATGCTTTGGTGCAATCACTGTTTGTTCTGCCATGGATTTCTCTCATGAGTTGAGTAGATTTGTATGTGTTGTACACAGAGGGCCATTTTGAAGTGATGGGTGTGAGAGACTATAGATTTTAGAATAGTTATGGTCCCTATAGACTCTTCTGTTTAATTGCACGGCACATAGGTAATATCACTAATAGGAGGTATGGCCTCATAGGAGTAGGTGTGGCCTTGGTGGAGGAAGTGTGTCATTTTGGAGGCACGTTTTGTGGACTCTTATGCTCAAGCTATTAACAGTGTGAAACACAGTCTCAGTCTGCTGCTAGTGGATCAAAATGAAGAAATCTCTGCTCCTTCTCAAGCATCATCGTCATGACTGCCTACACACTGCTAGGTTTTCTACCATTATTTTAATGGACTAAAACTCTAAACTATAAGTTAAGCCCAATCAGATGTTTCCCTTTATAAGAATTTCCATTGTCATTTTGTCTCTTTACATCAATAGAAACCCTAAGACAAAAGACTGCACGTGTTATCCAACATACCATATATATGATATATCTTTCATGTTAAGATATTGTAACTGAGGATTTTGTTTTTTTTTATTATTATTATTATTATTTTACAACACCATTCAGTTCAACATAATAGCCACAGAATCCCCTGTTCTCCCCCTCTCGCCCACCCCTCCCCCCAGCCC